AAAAAAAAAAAAAAAAAAAAAAAAAAAGAAATAGTATTTCCCTGATCTCAATTATTATTGAGAACATGTAAACAATGGGCCCAAGATCTGAATTAAGTGAAATTAATCCTTGATTTCCTCTGCTAATAGTAAGGAATCTTAGGAAATCTAAAACTTACTTTGCCTGGTTAGGAATTCATTTTAGCTGCCTTTTTGGTTACTGCTGAAGCTGAATCCAGCCTCTGTACCCCAACACAAAATTAAATCTCAGAGACAGAGTTTTGGGTGAAGTAGAAAAGAATAGCTTTATCACTTTGCCAGGCAACGGGGGCAACAGCTGGCTGATGCCCTCAAAACTGTGTGTACCAACTTGGAGAGGGTAATGAGAAGTTTTATAGTAATGGTTCCAAGAGAAGTGATCAGCTTGTGGACATACTTCTGATTGGTTGGTGGTGAGGTAAGTAGGAGTCAACATCATCAACCTTCAGGTTCCAACTGGTCTGGGGTCTACGTGCTTGTGGGCAGCACACCAACTTTAACCATTAACTTCTTCCACCTCGTGGGGGTTTCAGTATCTGCAAAACAGCTCAAAGATATTGCTGTGTGTATCCCTTGATGGGGAATTAGGACCTTGCCCCAAAGCTACACTATTGTTTCTCTTGACTATTTCACCCTTGTCTCTGCATCCTCTCCCTTCCCTAATTAACAACTGCTTGAATCTGCCCTTTGGAACTCAGTGAAGGCCATGGAGGCTGAATGAAGCCTATTTCTTGTAGTCAAACAAATGGGGGACACAAAAGTCTTTTGTGCACAGGAGCCCCATGGGGATCTGCTCAGTATCACTATTATGCTGGGCTAATAGTATTTCCCATTTTCCGAGCCTTCAGCAAGGAGGAAAGAGCATAGTATTAATTCACATATCAATAGAGAGTTATGCAAGAGCATATTTTTGTGCAATGAAAAAAATTTTAACACTTTTTGTAATAGGACTCCGCTATGATTTTTTCATTGAATCTAATAGTGAAATACTTTTGATACTTAGCTAACTAACCCTCGTGAGTAAGAAGTCTGACTTTATAACAAATATATGGTTCCTATTTATAGAACTTTAAAAATTAATGTTGAATTTTTTTTGCGGTACGCGAGCCTCTCACTGCTGTGGCCTCTCCCGTTGCGAAGCACAGGCTCCGGACGCGCAGGCTCAGCAGCCATGGCCCACGGGCCCAGCCGCTCCACGGCACGTAGGATCCTCCCGGACCGAGACACAAACCCTCGTCCCTTGCATCGGCAGGCCGGCTCTCAACCACTGCCCCACTAGGGAAGCCCCAACTGTTAGTGTTTTTAAGATTGTCATTGGAAGCTTTTTATGCCTCCTAGTTCCCACATTTAGTGGATTATGTGATCCGCTATGCACTGCATATTTTTCCAGGTGCTGGAGATACAACAGTGAACAGTGTCACTCCCCGTTTTAATGTTGGTCAACAGTTTAAAAATGTAAGGTTTAATCCATCAATTTGCTGCCCTGGAGTTTTAGATAAAGTCAAATAAAACCAAGTCAGTGAGTTTTCATTAGACACTTTTATTTGCTCCGTGGCAATTCCCCAAGATTATGCCAGTTTAAAAGTTCCGACAAATCTGGGGGTAGATGCGGCAGGTATGGTTGTCACTCTGCCTGATGTTGTTTCACTGTTTTGCAGGAACATTCAGATCTAAGAAACAATCCAGGATTTCCACCCCCTGGGAAAACTTGAAACCTATATTATTGCAGCTCCTAAAGCCCATAGATTGCAACCCAGGGATCTTTAACACTCTAAAACAAATGAAGCAAAAAGTGGTGCATTCCCTTTGCTAAAAATAAGTAATAAAACGGGGTAGATTTTACCTCCAAGAGGATGAGGGTACTGACATATTCTTGATTATTCATAGACAAAGTGTAAAATTCATATTATATAAAGTTGACAAGGCACTTTCTAGCTTGCAAACAAGATCCATTTTCCCTTCCAGTACATCAAAGAAACTTTTCTATTTCCAGTCAAGTACATACATAAAATTCTTCTCCAAAATGTCTCTGTTGAGAAAGTCTAGCAGCTTAGGGGTAAATTGCTGTCTTCAAGAGATCACATGAAAAAGACCAACATCTACAATCTCCCACCAAAAAAGACAACATGATCTAGAGCGGGTCCTGTAAACCTTTCTTGTAAAAGTCCAGAGTGTAAATACTTTAGGCTTTGCAGGCAGTATGGTCTCTGTTACAATTACTAAAGTCTTCCTTTGTAGAGTGAAGGCAGCCACACACAATATGTTAATAAGTAAGCATACTTATATTCAAGTAAAACTTCATTTATGAAAACAGGCAGCTGGTCAAATTTGGCTCAAAGGCCTTAGTTTGCCAACCCCTGATCTAGGTAGATCTGTATTCTGACCGAAGGTAACACATCTCATATTTATTTAGGATCTCACTTCTATTTTGTGTCCTATCATATATTGAAATAATCATAAGCATGTACCTTAAATAGTGAAAGAGATGTAATTTTTCATTTATCATCAGATATTATTTGTAATAAAATTATCCTGATGAAGGATATCCTCAGAAACCTAAAGTTCACCATTTTAATGCTATTTTCCCCTATATTGATCCAACTTTTTTTCATTTTTCTATATTATAGATTATTCCTTTCCTAATAGTATAGTAAGTACAATTTAAATTTTTCTTATTGTTTTTGCTAAAAACATTCTTAGAGGCACTTGAGCTATCCAAGGGCATATGCCTTACATCAGTGGCCTCAATCTGCAGTGATTTTACAGTTATTTCCATTACCACCACCTTGTATATCAGCTATCAATGTCAGTTTGTCTATTTCTAGTAATCCCTTTTCTTATATCCATACTTCCTCCCTCCGTAGCCCAATGCATAAAATCTGCTTTCTAATGAACTACTGAATTCTTTCTGATTGAAAGACTCAGATAACCTAGTTTATGGAACCACTTAAGTCACCATAAACCCTTTGGCCCTTTGAAGGAGCACTACATTTCCCTTCTGCATACATAGACTTTAAGAAAGCTATTTTCCACAACACTCAAAAAAGTTGGCTGCTTGTTTCTTGTCTGTTGGCCAGGTCCCAGAGCATTGAGGTTACTGGAAGTCAGATTAACAGGTAAATGAGGAATTTTCCTAATGTAGTAATACCTCTTTATTTTCCAACTTGTTTTTCGAAAAACTGATAGATTTTTCTTTACTGATTTTGCTACTGAAAATTTACTCCATATCCTCTTCTCTCTCACTGACTTGGATAGTTTAGCACAATGAACCTCAACGCTGGACCCTGAGTCATCTAGGCAAGCACTGGAAAAATACCAAACCCTAGGTCTCACCCTGTAGACTTTCTAATCATTTGGTTTGGGAGATAGAGAATAGACATTAGTCATTTTTGGTTTGGTTTAGTTTGGTTTCAAGATTTCCAGGTGATTTCTTTGTTAATCAAGGGCTAAGAACCACTGGTTTCCTATATCCAGTTTCTTTTAGGAGTCTGTGCAAAGGATTAGGGAGGGGCGGTTTACCTTGATGCTCCTCTTTCTATTTAACACATAATAAATGGACTTTATCTTCTCTGCTTTGAAAAATGCCCTGCAAGTTTAATTCCAAGTGGCTGTATTTCAAAATATATACTTTTTTGTATGATCTCACCATATGGAAAATGTAGTTAAGTCTAGAGCCCTCAGTGTTAAGATCCTTTATTCTCTTTTCGGCTATTGCATCTTAAACAACTGTTTTTGATAACTGTGAAGCCAAGTGAATGCTACTGTCTTTTTCTTGTTCATAGCACCAGAAGAATGGGCCATGACCCGCTCCAGCCTGAAGGCACCACCACCAAGGTCAGCCCGAGGGGGATACAGGGAGCACCCCTATAGTAGATACTGAGGGTTCTCCTCGCCTGTGACCTCACCTCAAAGACAATTCATAGCCTGTGGTCTCCACACAAACAGCAACATGACAAGTAATAGTCCTTTTTTTTTGGTTCCTATTCTAGGGATAACTGCTCATGGCTGCTCCCATATATTTGTTGTATTTCCCTGATACTGTTGGCGTGACACTGACACTAGTATTATTTTATGAAACAGACTAAAAGAAGCATTGGCAAGCATTGTCTATAAACCATTCAGTAGGATGATATTCTCTTGGTTGTTTTCATTGTTGTATGTAATCATTTTTTTCTCTCTCTTTTCTTTTAAGAAAGAGCATGAATCGGTTAACAGATTTTGAGTCTCAATCAACTAGCAAAAACTTTGTTTAGGGTTGCTAAAAAACTGTAACACGATATTTGAACTAGCTATAATAAAGTTGTAGATAAGATGTCTTAACCTGTCTTTTAATATCTGTTAGTTAGATGAAGCTGTTCGATATTAAATTTAATTTTAAATGCTGTTTTAATGGGGTTGAAAACAAGAAGCTACTGTATGTATGTAGCTAACTGAATTTGTTTAGTGTTTTAACCTGTATTTGTTAAAAAAGAAAAACACACACACATAAAGTTCCATGTGTAAGCTTCTCTAAATAGGAAAACACACTTTGTCAAATATGTTTGCCATAATTCGTCAATAAAGCTGAAAACTTTTGTAAAAACTAAATTTGGAATTACTTGTTTTCTAGCTTTAAATGCCTGCTTTATTTCTTTTTCAAGAGATGCCTAAAATGTTTTCTATTTAAAAATTACAAAAATGAACCCAAGCCTGTTTTAAGATATTTGTGTAATACTTTAAAAGTGTATTAATAACGTATGGTTGTTAAATAATTTAAAAGTTAACAAACTAAACTGTTACACGAATCATGGTTAGTAAACACTAATGTATAACATGTTAATGGAAAAAAATGGATTTAGAATAATAAATGGACTTTAAACTATCCTCTAAGCTTTATCTTGCTAAACACAAATTCTGGTTGACTTGTTTGCATTAGCATGTCTCCCGTGAGAAAGAGTAATGGAGTATAAAGAGGTAAGATTGCCACTTACCACTGTCTAAATGCCTAGTTCTTCAACCTTTGAGTTTCCCGCACATCAAATATCCCATCCAACATGTAAGCATTGTGTAGATTCACTTTATTTTCACTCAAAGGAGTGTGTTGATTTCATTTGCGTAGTTTATAACAATTTGTTTTGACAAACAAATCATCAGTGTCACTGGCCAGTTGTTGCTATTCAACCTCAAAAACTTTATTTGTAATTTTCAGTGCTAAATATCACCGCCCTTGAAGGCAGTTTAGAGGGCTGATAATTCTTTTGAGACTATCAGACTTGATGGCTGATGATTGTTAAGGAAATATGTCGCAGGACTCAAAGGATGACTAAACATTAAACAGGTAACACTAATAGTAACTCTGTAATTTTGCCTATGCAACAGTAATGTTAAATATTCTAAGTTATTAAGTTCCTGATAGTTAAAAAAGTAAACCTACAAAAACATAACAAATAGGTCTATAGGTTATTAAAACAACTAATTAACATTAACTAGAGGCACCAAAATTATTTTACAATATATAACCCTCAAGGTAATAAACAGAACTAAAACTAGCAATAATAGTAATGCAATTCTTGCTAACATCAAACGTAAGCTAAATTTTGATGGAAAAAAGGATGTGAAAGACTTGATGGTAGGGATGAATGCCAAAACTGTTCATCTTTTAAATACAGTTTTTTGTTTATGGTGGCTTTTGTCAATGTAATTGGTTTACTTTTTTTGCTGCTAAACAGTTTAGACATATTGTTGTTCAGTTTTTGCAGCTGGAGTTGCATGCTAATAGTTTTATGAAGTGTGTGTCTGTCATCAATTAAATTTGTAACATTTGCCTTTCACAAAATGCTATTGAGTTATATTTAATTTGTTTTCTATTCTTTCTTACTATTTCAGGTACCCACAAGCAAAGAGCACATAATTGAATAGCAGGTGTGATGGGCTAAGAATGAGAGAGGTAAGCTTATTTTTATCTTGACATAGATAATCTTTAGCAACATGAAGCTATGTAGTAAGCTAAAACACCAAATGCCACTTGTTGAAATACTAAAAAGGTTTAGATTGTTGTCTAGAAACTGAGTTATTTGTATCTTCTTTTAAAGAAAGTGATCTAACAGTGTTTACCTGGCAAGGTTTTCTGAGCTTATTCAGAAAGGTGAATTCATAGTTAACCTGCAGCCATTTTCCTTGCAATAAACTATTATATATTACCTCTTCTTGTGCAGAGAAAGAGTATGAAAACCTTTATTCTTCAGACATAAGAAAAGGAAATCACAACTGTTGACTGAGATGGAGGGGATGGGAAATGGAGCCCCATAACCAATCCCTTGCCTTCCCTCTGTCAATAAGATGATATTTATTTAGTCAACTAAAATAAACTTACCATTATTTTCCCCATTTATCCCATTAGATTTATCAGTAAATTCCTTGTTTCTCATCTGCCATTCTATTTGATTCAGCAAATATTTACTAAGTACAAAGCACTATTGGAAATTGAGACTTGATTTCTATACACAAGGAGTTGAAAACTTTAGCCAGTAAATCTCAGACTGAAAACAGTGCAAGGGCAGTTATGAGATCCACAGACAGACTTGAGAATTGAAATAGTCTTGCCAAGATGTTTGAAACAGGGATAAAATCCAAGTTTTCTCCTTCTAGGTCTGGTCCTCTTATCACTACACAGATATCCCTGATACAGTGTAGAGTTAAACAAATGGCATAGGAGAGAGGTGAGAGAGCCTGGAGATTCCTCATGACTAGAGGGAGGCCAGAGACTGAGGGAACCATGGACTGAGAGGAGCAGCCTATGCATGGAGGTGGAATGGAGGGCCGCCTGGGGAAGAGAACAGGCTGAGTCAGGTCTTGGAGTCCAAACAGTTCAGGAAGCAGGCTCCAAGGGGAGAAAGAACCTGTAATCTGGGTATCCTGCTTACTATTCTCCTTTGATCCTTTTTAAACAATAAGCTTGATCTTGTATAGCAATGACAGAGAAATCACTTGCAGTTTGTTACTATTTTGATACATTAATCTACATGTTTTTGTGTCCATTGTAATTATTTTATCATTTCTGTTATTGTTGCTTTATAACCCATGGGTCTCTCACCATTCAGACTCGATCTTTCAGTGCATTAACTCAGGGCAGGGCTATCACAGCAGAAACACCAGTGCTGAATAAGAGAAGAGAACATTCTTGGCTATTGAGTTTAAATAAAGAGTTTTTGAAGTTCAATAACCACGTTCTGTGAGAAAGGGGATTTTGAGTTTCAAAAGCTTGTGTTTTGAGTAGGTTCTGAGTAGGACATAAAACAGTAGATTTAAAAGACTCCTATATATCTACAAGATTGTTCAGGCTGAGAAGAAAGCTCAAGAAGTAACAATATCTAAGATATTAGTGTAAGACATTAGTGTGGTCTTGAGTCTGAGTCTGTACACTAAATTGATTATCCAATAAAAGCCTCCCATATGTTTAGAACACAGAGGGAATATTTGTCTAAAGTGGAGCTTGGGGAGGCTTCACTGAATTCCCCCACCTCAGTGTGTTCTAGGTGCAATCCTGTAGAAAAATGCTTTTATAGAATGTTTTTCCATGCTGGCATGAATGGAGCAGATGTGGCAGAGAGCCACTCACAGTCACCTCTGCAGGAAGGCAGGGGAGAGAGCAGTAGCATCAGCTCGGACCAACACTGACCAGAATGCAGACGTATATGTGGAGAGGGGAGAAGATCAGCTGCTCCCTGCTACCAACACCTCCAAAATTTAAATCCAACCCAGAAAAAAAAGAGAGGAGGAAAATAAATTCCTGAGTTGACAAGGGAACCCGTGACCAAAATTAATCTGAACTGGCTGAGATAATTTTTCTCCACTGGCAGTATGGGAACTTGAGATTGAAATCAAGTTGAGGTATAGAAAAATATAATTATGTATACATTGCAGTCATTTATTTCATAACTTTCCCAACTCATAAAATAATCAGAAGTGAATACAGTAGGTTTCTCTGGCAACAGGGAATGAGAATTTCCCAAAGTTAGTGGCCTCTTAGCAGAAACCTTTGATAGGATGAAAACTGTTCAGTGTGGCCCCAACAGTGAACATTTGCTCAACTGGAGGGAGCTTTCTTCTCTTGTCAGTGACACTGGTCCCATTGGATCCCTTCATGAAATCATGTCCCCTCTTAACTAATTTCAAAATGCTGGCTCCCAAAGATGGCAGAAACAGGTACCATGGCAGTTCTAGAGCCAGTGTCTGTATAGATATTCTCATGTCTGACATTCACCTATGCAAGTTACATGGCATAAGGTTTTTAAATTACAGTTGATATTATTCGTGTGCATACTCCAGACATTCTTTCAGATAATGCTGTAGCTCTTGGTATACTATAATGATCCTATGACAACAGGGAACTCAACAAAGGTCGCTAGTTTGGACAGTACACATTAGTGAGCAAGAAAGTCTTTATGCCTTCTTATATATGTCCAAAAAAAGTTTTATTACACACCAGTATGATTAAATCAGATCCAGTTTGATGCCATTTATGAGACCAAATAGTACTTTTAAGTCTTATTTTTAATATTTAGATAATTTTCACTTTCAGTATATTAATGCAACTAAGGCCATTTAGCTTAATAACAATTGAAGCACTGTTTTTAAATAAATTTGTCACTGAATGACATGTTAAAGGTTTTCACGAATTCCTTTAAAGAAATTGCCTTTTAAACTGTATTATTAAAATATTACTCGTTTCTTTAGTTTTTCACTTAAAAGTATATAGGCTTGTACTTTGAAACCACAAATGTCCCTTAAAAATGTAACCCTTTAATTATATAGCATTTTCTTTATATCTTTAACTCTGTGTCTCTTAGTTAATGTTATATAGAAGTTTTTGTCTACTTTTGGGGGTTTTAAAGGGAATACAAAACAGTGATCAGTAATCTGTCAAGTTGGTTGAATATCAAGTATTTTTTCAATATCAAAAAACTGTTAACTGAAAACATCATCTGTTTGCCACTCTTGCAGATTCCATTGAAAGTTTTAATTTTTACTGCAAAAACTTACGCAGTGAATAACTGCAAATATCCAATTGAATAGTACTTTACAAAACTGATTACATTATTTGTGTTCTGTATGAGGCCAAAGAATAACAACAGTAATAATGAAACCATCAGTTTTCTGAGCGTACATACCAGGCAAGGTACTAGAATATTCACATAAAGACATACATGGAACCCCTGTACTCCTTACAACAAGCTTTCAAAGGAAGCACAGTTAACCCTGTATTACAGAAGAGGAAGTTGAAGTTCAGAGGCTTAGCTAATGTCACACTACTAGTATATAGGAAAACCAATATTTAAAACAAAATTTTATAACCCATACATTTTCCAAAATGCTATTGTGATTTCCAGCTTTTAATGAATTTGACTCATAGCACAGGGAGATCATCCCGGTGCTTTGCAACAGCCTAGAGGGGTGGGATAGGGAAGGTGGGAGGGAGGCTCAAGAGGGAAGGGAGGGGCTTCCCTGGTGGCGCAGTGGTTGGGAGTCCGCCTGCCGATGCAGGGGACGCGGGTTCGTGCCCCGGTACGAGAGGATACCACATGCCATGGAGCGGCTGGGCCCGTGAGCCATGGCCGCTGGGCCTGCGCGTCCGGAGCCTGTGCTCCGCAACGGGGGAGGCCATGGCAGTGAGAGGCCCGCGTACCGCAAAAAAAAATAAAAGAGGGAAGGGATATGGGGATATATGAATGCATGTGGCTGATTCACTTTGTTGTACAACAGAAACTAACATAGCATTGTGAAGCAATTATACTCCAATAAAGATGTATTTTTAAAAAAGTGAATCTAAAGTCTCAGGTAGCCATAGCATAATTTCTGTTCTGTAGCAACTTGATGAATCCTA